AGTCCCATATGTTAATTCCAACACAATACTTTGTTAAGAAACAAATATTTGAACAAGTATTAACAGTGATTGACTGATTTAATGAAATTAAATGGCTACCGCTTAGGACCTCAGTGATAACGTTTCACAGCAGTATATCATTATAGCAAATTACAACATAACAACAACGGAAATTCATAGGAAGATGGAACTGAAGCGTCGAAAGTAATATCGAGTAAACGTAGCAGGAAGTATATATAAACAAATCTTTTGGCAAAATCTCAACTGGAGTAAGGAAGGAACTAGACAATTGGTGCTGCAGGAATTTCAATTAGCTTAGGAAATAGACAATGCCGATAGCACCCCAGCGCCTACCTGATGCTTGCTATACATGAAACTATCATATGTACATTTTAACTTTGATACATTTGTCCTAAAGAAACCGGTTGACCTTCGATCTGATTGGCTTTACTTAAGTATGGTTAGAAATTCGAAATTAAAAGGCAAATACGGTGCCTGAAACTGAAAACATTTCTTGGATACACCAATTCAAGTATATTGCGTCCATATGTAAATGTATTATACCAGTAGATATTCGAAGACATCATATGAGGTAAATGTTCCTTCTTTGGATAAGTTTTTTGTAAAAATATACGTTACTTTGGTCAAAGGTTATAAAAAACATGTAAAACACGTGTTTAAATATATTTGGCTTTTTACTTATTGTGGTTAACCAAAACAGTTGAGAGAGATTGTTTTTATTATTTTTCATTTTTATTTTTTGCAATTAATTGTAATAACATTTCTATTTATTACTTACCTAAATTACGTCTAAACTTTAAGTCTTAGTTATTATCTTCACTCGGTTACAAATAGCTATTTATCAGTTATCCAATTCTCAATCATACACAGCATACAATGATACTAGCATACGCGGGACGAGCTCAGCATTATGTTATCTTTTGAAACCTATTTCCACTAAGTTAAAATTGCATTTCTAAGTTGTTTTAATTTTGGAGATATTCATTCTGCAACGATATTATCCATAGGATTCATAAATGATTAAATTTTAATAGCCGTATGATGCTTTTATTTTAATTATTGTTTAACTTATTTACTTAAATATTAACAAATAATGTTGATAGATGTAAACTCATGAAACAATAATTTATTTGAAGTGTCTGTAAGTATCCTATCGATAGGAAATCGCATAAACACAAGTGAAACAGCAATTCATTATAAACTTGGAAAAATATTATTGTAAAGCAGGTGCAATATGCCTACACATTTCGAAATAAAGGATTATAGCAGAAACGCTTTGAAAAAATAAAGAAAACTAGGTATTCATAAAAAATGGAATTTGAAATGAAGAGCTATGGGATGTATACTACCGGAAATAAAGGAGAAAGACAGTATTTTTTACGTAAGAGACTGATGAAGAGACAATAGACATTTATGAACGGTAATTACTACTCTAACAGTGGAGAGATTGATCAGGATAAAATAAGATAGATTGGTGATTACTCCTTAAAAAAATGTGGGGGACTATTCAAAATCGTTAATATAGTTACTCTTAACTAGGAAAACGGAACAATCTTTTCCGGAAAGGATCATAAATATCTACTTCACAAGAAAGAAATTGGAAAACAGAAATAGGTTTCACAGGTAAGAGAGAAGTGATGTTTAATCAACCGCTGACAAAAGCCAAACTTTCTGGATGGTTTCAACAGAATATGACATCTTGTGTCTTCATAATTTTGTATCACGAGATTGTGTGGTGCAGAAAGCTCACGACACTTGAATGGCTCTACAAAGTTGTAAATGATTTTATGATGCAAGTTTACTAAGTAGAACACGATGTCGTGGTTAGCATTATCTGTTGTGTTTTTATTCTCGCTTTACTTAAATGTGATTGGTCTTTCAAAACTGCGTCGGTGTTACATATGAACAACAACTAAAGACTTAAACCAAAGTGAATTAGGTCGTTAATGGTCGACTTTAACAGTCATTATCAGCAACATGCTGTAACGGTAGCATAATATTACCTCATTTTTTTCATATCGTTATCAGACTAGATAGTGAACAGTGAACAAAGAAACTCCGGAAATATAACTGACAGCATCATATGAAGTCTTTCATTTCTTATACGACTATCCGTGTCATTTGAGGAAACTATTTCTGGAACATCATATCAGGCTTAAAGAAGACTAAACCATTATCTGAAGTGTTGAAGAACAATTAGACGCTAGTATATGAATAATATCTACTCAAAGGATGAGTCATAGACTAGGGATTTCTCTGTATAAATATGCGGAATGATAAGTTCGTCGGATTCTATTTCCAGATGTGATTTATAAAGTTATACGGTTTTATTTTTTCACGCTTTCCCAAAATCCTTCATTACTTTTGTCTATTAACAGGAGATAAAAGGTAGATAAACATATGTGTTCTACTTATATACATTCCGCCGATAATTTATGTTTCGAGTAATTTTGTGTTGAGAATCGGTTTCGAATTCAATAGTGACCATAATGTGTTTTGTCCTGATATTTATCGATGTATTATTTATGAAATAGTCCATCGATAATTCCCGATTTCAAGACCGGTCATATGTATAATATTATTGTAAAGGTTACCAATTATACAATTGGGTAGAGAAACATTACTTAATCTTATCAAGCAATACTGACACGTGAAAGAAAGAATGCTGATAGCTACAGGTTTGAGGGCTTTTTCATAGATTTACAGTCAACGAAATCAACAAAGAAAACCCCACCATGACAACAAAATGATAGTCCAAACTCATATGCAAAAAGGGTGAAAATATAAGCAAACGAAACGTTTAGTCGGATATTCCGTGACAACTACACGGAGAATAAGACCGCATGTTCCGGAAGAGTGAGGGTATTCTGCTTCATCGTTGACACCCGTCATGGAAATCTTGGTTAATCCAAATAAGTAATGTCAAGTTCCCGAATGAGAACCATGTAAACAACAACGGAGCCAGCAGGTAAACTAAGGACATCAAACACGTTCAGCTTCATATTGCATAATGAAAATAAATATCCCCCTAACGAGATCCTTATCATAACCTTAAATCTTCCCTGTCTTTGATTTATATCAAAATAACATTTTATCTAGCAGAATTGCGATTCCGTGTGAGCTGTTGACCACATTTAATCTAAGTCAAGCAAACAATTGTTTTCATTAAATGTGTTATATCATATACCCTACTTAAATGCATTAAAAGCGCATGTGCTGACGTAAAAATAGATTTTCTATGAGTACTTTTGCATACTTAAAGACGTCATTGAATCTTAGCTCCCTGTATGCTATTAAGCAGTGTACTATATTTAGCTCTTCGGCGCATGTTACTAATTAAAGGAAAGAAAAATAATAAACATCTACAGGGAATTGTAAACCGGTGTTAACAGAAAGTAGTCTTTGGAATTACAACCAAATCATTTTACACAAGTTAGTAATGAGCTAATATGACGCGGTTCTAGTTTAAAATATGTATTTAAAAAGTGACAGTGAACCAACGTTTGGGGTTTTATGAGTTGTAAGGTAAATACGTTACATGTTTCATAACGTGAATACAGCATGATTACATCTAACCCGAATATATCTGTCACCATACTTATCTATGCAACTGACTTCTTTTTCCGAGAAACAAAAATGCGTATTTCCGATTAATTTTGTACGAAAAATGATCGAGAAATCAAAGAGGCGTCTAATGTAGATTAGATTATTGACTTTCGATACGTGCACCCTTGTTGGAGAATTGAAGTTGTCATCAGTTATCCTTTCAGAGGAACATCGCAATACACGTGTTTAAGACTGGTTAAATGCTCTTTGTGAATAGTTGTTGGTTCTTGGTGGTGACAGAACCATGAACATGAGAATATAACTAGATGGTGTGAAGAAATGGAGAAATAAAGAAAAAAAAATACCGAATATTGCGAAGTAACAATAATAATGTTTAAAAAAAACTAAATAACATCATGGATAAAATGTCATTTTATCACACACACAAAAAATGTTACTAGAGTGAACAGGATTCTGGCAGGTGTAAATACCATGCGCATACATCACTGATGCATTGCTGTCTAAACCAATTATGGTAAATACAAAACTATTTAAAGAACACTATGTTTACTCGTATTGTTTGTGTAGTAACAAGAGTAAGGATGGCGTTGATGGTCACCTACAACCACATCTGTGTTAAGCTCAGTATTTATTTGATTTTTGTCTTTGTTATTCTAACAAAAGAATACGCTATCTGTCTCCCAGTGATCTAGGGAAATAATACAAAGGGTCATTGTAGCAACTTTCGTTTTAGACGTGTCACAGGTATAACTGACAGTTTTCAAAAATAATGATGATACAATACTGGCTCAACGGTAACAGCTGATATTTTATACTATTCGAGGGGTTATAATGTCAATATGAAGATCGAAACTGTGAGTTTGATTGCTTGTCAAAACTGTGTATAATTATATATTGCAGTGAAGAAATAAAAGTAAACACCGACCAAAAATAGCAGCTTTAACATTTCAAATAGCTCTTCCGGTTGATATATATAGAATACAATAAAAGTGATATAGATAGGTTTAGGTGTATTATCGGTCCACCTATTAAAATGGTGTTGATCCTCTCAAATATTCACGTCAATTGAAAAATACGAACTTTTTATGGAGTTTATTGGTATCATGATGAATAAATATCACTTTGCTAATTGTATATGTCTCGAAACATTTTTTAAGCCATACTAAGTTGAAATGTAACATAATATTGGTACTTTATCTCAGTAGTATATTTCTTACTATACTGATTTGTCGCGAAATGAAGTTTTTGTGGCAAATCAGCATAATCAAAAATGAATGATGTGATAAGTGTTCATTATTTTTAAATATTTGATTTTATCGAATGGCATATCAACTTCAAAATTTAACATATTTCATCTTCATTTTATCTTTTCCTCCTTTTTAATCTATTGCGAGTAACTTTAATCTACTTACCAATAGTTGTCATCACAGTGATGGCGAAAAGAAGAGAACTGGCAAATGACCATTGTAGCTCAGATTCGCTTTGTTCATCCTTGTTATTCCATCCATACATATCAGTAGCCTTCCACACTTCTGTTTGAAAACTTTCAAGAAGTAAGTTAATCTCTTTTGTAAAATTTTCCCGGCTTCGTTTATTCATTTCTAACTCAAGTGCTAGTTGCAAAATCTGTGTTACTGCTGTTGTCCTTTCATTTTTCACACGAATTCTGGTCTGTTGCTCAAAAGGAGCTTCGAGAGCCTGGAAGATGAACCCACCGAGAATGGAATATGCTACCACAAGCGAACACAATCCTATATGAGAAAATAAGAATGCAATAAATTGCTTACAACAACTGATAACTTTCCGGCGTTTTTCTAGCATCCGACTTTCCCGTCTTGTTGCTAGATGCCGAGGATTAGGTGGCAAAGCAGGTTCGTCGTCCAGTGGTTCATCCGAAGCCACTGGTTCATCACCTGGTTCAAATTTAATATGCTTTTTAGGTAAATCATCGCTTAAGTCGATGACATCGTCAACGATATCAGTTTCTTGAAGTAAAGCAAGTTTACTAAGACTTATGTTTGTCTCGTTCTCTATGATAACTTTTGTGTCAACTTTGACGTCTGGTTCTTCGGTTTTATCCGATTTTTTCTCGACGTTTTTTGCTTTATTTTCTTTCTCATCTCCCTTGTCTGGTGACCTTATTGAACGCTTACTTTGCCTGTTTTTAGCTAGTTCTGATTGTTTCCGATGCTTTGAAAGGCGTCTTTTCATGGATATTATGCCCATTAGAGAAAGCTTTTTTGCAGGTTTGGAAGCAGTTTCATCTGTATCATCTTCTTTTTCATAATCAGCCCTTACCATAGGGTCTTCTGTTGCGTTCTTTAATATCCCAGAGAGTCTGGGGGCACTGTCAGGTGTGTCACAGTCCTTTTGTACCTCGACAGGTAAAGGCTGGATTTCACTAAGAGGTGGTAGTTTCTTTCGCTTTAAAGCTGGAGTTGATTCAGGCGTTTTAAAAACAGAATAGTCCTCAATTTCTGAAATGTCAATAGCCATATCGCTATCAGAACTGGAGTTCCGAGAAGATTTTCTTTTAGCTTTATTATTGACACTTGCAGATGTTGCTTGTTTCTCATCTTTTACATCTTTTTCTTCAGAACTGCCTACGTTTAGTTGTGATGCCTTTTTTATAATTCCTTCGGCCGCTGTCCGAAGATTCACTTTTAATGCTTTGCTCATTAATGGTTCATCCTTTTTGTCAAATTTGAGACTCTCAAGAGATGTTTGAACACTTCTCGATATAGGAGTGGTACCCCGTCGTTTCTCGATGTCCTCAGACTGGGTTCCTGTAGTGTATAATAATGGCTTCGCAACGTTTCCTTTACTTAATTTTCCCAACAGATCATTTGTAACAGTTGTATTCCTTAGAGATTCGGATAGTAATTTAAGGTTTTTATTCGGAATGTCTGGAGTAGATACAGTATCACTAGTTTTCCTGTTTCCTTTTTCTCTTTCTTTATCGTTGGTACTTTGTTCTTTTTCAGAATCTTTTCTCTTGTCATATTCTTTCTCTACAGCTGTTTCATCTTCTTGTTTCTCCATATCTTTAGATTCCTTTTCTTTCGATTCTTTGTCTTTACTTTTAGATAAACTCCGGCCACTAAATCTTCTAGGAGACTTGTATGTACTTCTTGACAGTTTCTTGCTCTGATCGTAAGCATTTTTCCCTCTCTCACGAGACACAGTATTACTTAAATCAGATTCAATTTCTTTCTTTTCATCGGCAGGAGCAGCAGTGTCATTCAATCTTAATCCTCTTTTCTCCTTTCTGATTGTATCCTGAGAATTACTTAGCCATGCTGTTACATTGTCACTCACTTGTGATGCAGGTACAGATTTAATGTCTTGTTTTGAAAAAGGATACCACCTCTTTTCTGTAGCTTTTTCATTGTCTTCTTTCACTACATCACTATTTGTGAATTTCTGTGATTTATCATCTTGTTCAACATTAGATTTGCCAAGAAGCAAAGGCACTGCAATCTTACCTTGAGAACGTACTTCCGCTTCCGGTAATGGAACTGTCTCCGTTTCACTTTTTACATCATGTTCCTCCTCACTACTGCGTTTCAATAATCTAGCTCCAGGTGAACCGGAACGTAGAGGTAGATTCTGACTAAGATTCAGAAAGTTTGAGAACGACTCTTTACGATTTTTTTCAAGTTGTTGGGCATCAATAGGGTCAACGTGAGCAGATGAACTAGGCGTTTTATCAGAGTTACTGTTCCTTTGGCCAGAGTAAGGGGATTGTTCGTTTGATACAGATGAATGTGGTGTTTCGGTTCTATTCGGGCTTTTAAGTCCATCACCCCGTTCATCAATAGATACGCCGTTAGTAACCGTTTTCAATAATGGTACGTTACTAGCATCTCCCCCAGATGTATCAGGTGAATCGCTTTTGATTTCAACCTCTTTATCACTTTTTGCATTTTCATCATTATTCACATTTGACTGCGTATGATTCACTCGATCTTTCTTTCGGCGTCCCATATCTGCACTCACTGACCTTCTGTACACCTTTTTGTCTTCGTCCGTTTTCGAAAAAGGTATGGAACCTTCGATATTTGTGAGATCCGGTAATGATGACGAATGTGATTCCATAGACTCTGATTTCCCTATACCTTCTAATGTTGGTTTCAGTTTGAATTTGTCCGCGGTAGATAGATCACTCTCTGGGGGCTTACTGGAACTTTTTACTTTCTTTGCTTCTCCAACTGTCATACGCTTGATTTTATCTCTTGGATCAGCTGGAGATTGAAGTTTGTCGGTTAATCCAAACTCTCCGACTGGTTTCCGATCCGGCGTGGAGACGTTGTCCCCACTCAACCTTGCCGCTACGGTGACATCATTCTCTGTAGAGTCCTGTATCCCACCAGTACTTCGCGATCTTTGTTTTTGAAGTTTTGGCTTCCGGAATAGATTTTTAAAACTCCGGCGTTCTGAAGTGCTCCTCGAACGCGTTGCCCTTGGCAGCGTGTTAACTCCTTCATTGCTAGGTCTTTTTTCAACACCATTATCATTAATGTCGTCAGATTTTGTCGTCTGCTCCTTTTTAAGTCCAATTTCATTTTTATCATCGCCTCCAGCGACAAACACCTCATCGTTTTCATTATCTTTTCCCGATTTAGCTTCATTTTCTTTTCCATCGTCTTTCTTTTTCTTTTCTTTCTTTTTAGAACCTTTTCTACGTTTAGTTTTTGTCGCTTGTTCGGTTTCATCATCTTCGTTCTTCATTATGTTTAATGACCTACATTTAGGTCCACACAATTCTAATTGCAAAAATACGTTATTATAGTCCCGGCGTTACATATTCAGCAAAGCAAGCCATTACTTACATTCCCGAAGTAGTCCGAATGTCGTATGAAGCCTGACCATGAAGCACTAAGAGATCCGGATTCCACGTTTTAATTGAAAATAATCCCTTAAGTGTTTTTCCTAACTACTGGCAAAAGATATCACATTTTAAAATCTTTCTACACAGAAGTGTAAGGTTGTTGACTGTTATTTATTACAAATTTGATCCATAAATAACTTCAATAGTGTGTCCCAATCGCACATCTTCATATTTATGTATTCACAACTGTTGTACCAAACCATGGTTTCTCAGCGCGACTGTAGTGGAGATAGGGTACCCTCGTGCGTTGGAATAGTGTCCTGATGAATTCTCCACGCGCGCCATCTGTAAATATACATACTAACTCTCTCTCTCTCTCTGCAGCAAACAGGCCGTGCAAGCATGTACAGTTAGTTAGACCGACTGTCGGCGCTAATATCCACGCGCGTGTATTACCTGGTAGACTGTGAGTGCCTGCCTTTTATACCGCTATTGTAATACCGCTGTTACTGACACTGATAGAAATTGTCTCATTTAAATGGCAGATTGTTATACTTTGTTCACAAATTTCGTTCCTGTCTATCACAATGTCATAAAATGTAAATTCATCCTATCAAAGTAACGAATTGTCGATGATTTACACATATTCAATATTATATATAACGCTTTGTACAATGTACAAGTATATCCGTTTCATCGGTCATATTGATATGTCCGAAATGTAATCCGCTTTCTGATTGGTTTATAGTGATAAAGCACGTGCGCCCTGGGAGTTAGATAGGTTATACCTCCTTCAGGCTTCTTGCTAATTAACACTTAACACGTATTAAGTGACCTGAGGGACCGTTCAAGTCATTTTACTTTATACAGCGCCACCTTGTTGAGTCACAGGCTTCGAAAACGAACGAAGTTGTTAAAAGAAAGTTCTAAAGTACGGGAAGCGAAACACGATTCCAACGGCACCTGTTGGTTTACTTGATTAAGATCAAAACTTGAAGATGCAAGCAGAAATGATTAGTAATCAGCTCATTGTTTTGATAAAAAAATACTTACAGAAGTAGCGGAGGAATATAATCGAAAAAGTTTTATTATTTTGAATAAATTGATAATGTTTGTATATATTCCTTACTCGCACTGTAATAAATGAGGGTGAGGGAAGAAGGGAGGGGCGGTGGAGGGGGAGGAAAGAAGGGAGGGACGGTGGAGGAGTAGGAAAGAAGGGAGGGCGGTGGAGGGGGGGAGAAGGGAGGAGCAGTGGAGGGGGATGTTGAATACGAAACTTCCGAAGCCGAAACTTGTACGTTTTATGGATTTCCATTTCCGATCGGCAGTCTGGTGAAAAAGTTAGTGTTATCTAGAGCCTGACAACCCTCGTTCTATAGTAGGCAATAGTAAGACCCATCGTAAGCAATTTAAACCTGTCTAGAAATTTTTACATGTATAATCTTTACTCCGCAGCACAAGATTAACTCTCTGTGTGTTTAAGTGTTGAAAAAATCGGTGCAGTTGTTCGTTTTATAGACACATGGCTATTAGTGAGACATTCGTAATGGAAAGGTTCTAATATACACAGGTTACTGGAATTGACAGGTATTTCACACCTGTTGGTGGTCGCGTAATTCACGCGGATGATACAGACATCAGGTGAGGAATGATTACCCCTCCGTTTAGCACTAAACGCTAAGGATAGAGATTGTGTTTATAATGCCTCCTGTCTACTCCTTTTATAACTAGTTCAAAGTTCAAAGTTCTTTATTACACTCAGGCACTTGTGTGCTACAAGAGGTCAACTACTATGCAGGATAGTCTAGTACTAGAACATCAAATATGCACTGGTAGCAACAATCCAATTACATATCAGAACAGAAGCTTATTACTATGTACTAATTGATACTAACTCGAGGTACAGGGTATTAGACCCCACCATCAACAGTAACAACACACTGTACGTTACTTTACTGAAGGCAATTAGGATAATTAAGATTATCTATTATTATTGTTTATTTATTTATTTACTTATTTATTTATTTCGGTTGTTTATTTATCTATCTGTTTATTTATCTATCTGTTTGTTTATTTATCTATCTGTTTATTTATCTATTTTAATTCATTGTTATTCTATTCTTTATTGTTCATTCATATTTATCTTTGCCATTCAAAGGTTGGCTCTAAAACGTTCACATACATGTTCATCATAAATTGTGTTATTCAAACTGACATTTAGCATGCAAAGAAAACACATCTTACAACTAAATAACGGTTTCAGATCAATAATTACATCATTTTGGCGTATAATGTTGATATTAAACCACACATACAAATAAACAAGTTTCACTATTTGACCAATAAAACTGCGACAGTCTATAAAGCATGAGCTAATTTTAAATAATTGAATTGAACAAGAAATGAAGCCTTTTTTTCAATCATTACTATTTATGAATATTATAGTAGCTGATATATTTACACTTGAATGTCATTGTATTCAACCCAATGGACTGAATATATTTTTTGATGAATATTGCAATGTATATATTTTGATTTCATGCATCGATTTGAAAATCAACGAAAATGTATAGTTACTTCACACTGTGGTCTTTTGTTAGTAAAGTTTACCTTGGTGCATAAATCCACGTATCGACCTCAGTGGGAGTCAATAATTGTATACTATAGACCTCTGTCTGTATGCGTTATACAGGTATATTTAGGAACACAGACGGTGCATCGTGGCTGTGATTCATTACTCTCCTATTGCGACATACAACATTGGATCTGGACCAAAACAAAAGGTCGAGAGGATCAAATTTAATGCAGACCTGCTCTACACCGACTGACAGTAGTTATGACAGACATGGACAGATTGGGAAATACCTAAGGGTTTAAAGAATGAGAATTATGGAGGGTTATTGTATTTATCGGTAGCACAACACACCAGGACGTTTTTGGAAATGTGTATAGTAATTTTATACCAGATTGGCCCTTTGTCAGAAAAAGGTTTAGATATATTTTTAAAAGATATTTTTAGATTTTTAGGTTCAAAATTACACCAAAATCATTTTTTTTATTCAGACAAATTTTATCTTAAATCGTTCATTACAGCAAGAAAAACTCCATGAAGCTAAATCTGTTAAGTTCGACAAAACGTTTTGCGTAGGAATATGGCCAATGTTTAGTGTCGTTTGTACTTATTTAACTGAAGACAACCTATCGCAGAAAGCAGGGGCTGCACTGGATATAACATGTACACAATGAAGCATTTATGTGAAACAGAAGTTGTGTTAACCTACCAAAAAGACTTATTCAAACGTTTATGAGAAGCAGACATTCTATGAACGTATGAACCACATGGTATACATGCATGTATTAAAGATTTTATGAGAAGCAGGCAAATACACAAGGTGTAAACTGTGTATGTACAAATCGCCAAACATCCACAGATGTATGTAAAACAACCATTTTATGGACCATGATTTCATGGACACTGAGATACACATTTCAATCTTTGCTTGAGCTAAAACTGAAAATGTGTGTAAGAAATGAATGCCCTCGCTTTCAAGCGTATTTATGGGATCTTTTATAAATTTGTACAAATTGTCAAATTTGAACCTTTGCCCTTTAACCTTTAACTTTTAAAGGTCATTGGCAATGAAAAACATTGTGAATTTTTCTTTAAAAAATCATTATATAACGTCTTAAAAAATTGATCGGTGTATGATGCACGGGTAACACTATCTTTACCTGTAAACAACCAAGGAAGTTGAAATATCAAGAGTTATTTCAGTTCTGGTAATCCAGGTTTTTCATTGGTGGATCATTTGTGACGTCAGTTCTGCCACGGGACACATATTCATTTGTTGTGTTTATGAAGGCCCTGTATATTAAATCGGCTATATTTGGTTAAATAAAACATGCACAGCACCATAAAATGACTAAGAGTTAGAATTGATTAGACTAAACCGATGTCCAGTAATGATGATTCCGCCGATACATCGTATCGTGGCTTTGCCGACGTCAGCAAAAGTTACAGGTATACAGTACTTTGATGAGTAATAAGGCGAATTTAAATTATTTTGGCTTCTATTTCTTAACTGCATATCTATATTTACATATGAGTCACAACTTTCCTTTAGCTAAAGACAATATCATTCGACATAATTTGTTCGTTTTGCGATTTTCTTGTACTCGTCTCAGTGATGGGAACCTTCTTTTCACTTTTTTCAGAATTTGTTATAAAAATGAAAATCGATTTAATGTAATAAAGAAGTGTTTTTTGTTACCATTCAATATTCCGTACATTATTCATCACTGTTAAATCCCAAATGTCCTGGGCTACCTAAGTATACACTTACTCTTCGCTGGGAACCTGTCGGTTGGAGAGGATTAGGGGTCGTGACAGGACATGAATTAGTTAATTGGACAGTGAAGTTTCTTGGATAAGGCAGCAAGACAGTCAGTTTTACTGATATTACATAAAGAATGAACGCTCTGCTCAAATTTTATTAAGATATATCAAAATAATTATTGATTTTTTGTCACCAAAAAAAACCCACCAAACTCAGTGTTATTATCGCCAGTTTTTTTATCACAAATCTACAGAGTTTTGTATTTTTTTTTTTTTTTTTTTTTGCTTTTTTGTTTGTTTGGTTTTTTTTTTTTTTTTTTATTTGTTCATACACAAATATAAATTGTATATCTTGTACTCACCGTGCCTACTATTGCTCCATTCCAAGCAGGCAATACAGAACGAAAGACACGATCGAGAAACACTGGGCAGGACATTATCTTCAGGGAAAAGTGTACAAATTGCCTAGTAACACAAACACAACATGTACAACATCATCAACTTCCACATATAGGACAATATACGTACAAATATATCATATAATTGTCAGGAGGTTAAGCA